TTTTAAAGGCGGTTAACTGAAATATAGTTTTATGATTTGTTTGTGAAAATTGCCCATGTCACCCTGTTAGTTTGGAGGTCTAAGCTGGATCAAGTCCGTGTTAAAATTCCTATGAAGTTGTGCAGGAAAAATTCTTCCTTTCTTTCTCTAGCTCCTCGATAAACCTGGTGTTCAGATTTTATCTAGTACCCCCAGGTCTACGGGAGCTGCGCTTTGTAACTAACGCACAGGTAGATTTTTACCTGAGATAACTGGAGTAAAGCTTAGATAGAGAGTGCGTTCGATACAAGCAAGACAAATTGAATGCCATTTAACCCTCTAATTAAGAGGTAAAGGAAGTTCCAGGTAGATGGATGATTAAGATAGGACTTGTAAAGGTAACGGGCATTGTTTACCTCAGTTTAATAAAAGTATGCAAGACGGAGTGTCAGCGGTTTAATAAAATAAATTGAATTTCACAAATAACATGGACCTCATATGCAATAATCAACATTTCCCTTAACTCATTCAAATGCAGTGTTTTATACAGCTTGGGATAACCATAATGAAATGCTTGTTAAAGAAATGACTAGACGGGAAATGGTTTTACACAGCTTCACGAGGATTTAGACCCCTCGGGTAAGAGATTTGAATGAGTATAAACTTTTATCAGAAGCCAGAGAAGTCATCTTACAGGTAGACAATGCAGCTCAGTTTGACAGCTAAGCACGCTCTGTTCTCCAGTGCAGTAGGACACATACTGTCGATGCGGAGTGATATAACGTCGTTTTCTCGCGCCAGGACGTAACGTCGGGCTCAAATTTTGTAAAAATTTAAACTTGGTCGAAGAATAGCTATATACTCTAAATAAATGCACACTTAGCAAGTCTAATACGATATTATGATTGTTGGGTATATAGACTTCATATTCATGTACACTTCTATTGAAATTATGTAGTTTAGAGCGAGCTTGCGTTCGTCAAAGTCGCACTGAGCGGTAAAATTTGACCTTGGCAACATCGAAACTTTGGCCACTATTCCTCAACTAGAGAGTGTGCGGGAAATTCCGGATAAGAGATAACGTATCTTTTAATCAATGTTGTATGTATAAAAGATTATTAAAATTCATCTTTGGAAACAAATGTTGCAGAATTTTTTGTACCAAAAATCGTGCAAAATCCAGGTTTTTGCGTCATCCATGAC